ACTAAGATGGTTTTTGCTTTTGTCTCCTGACAGGACTTAGCCCAGTGGCTGGCACATAGTAGGCACTTACTAGCCCCTTTCTCGCTCCAGCCCATTCTAATCTGAAGTCCCTAACTGCCCACATACGAGCCCATTTCCTTTTCTTATTGACACACGGATCTTCAGGCTAGCTGGTATCTTAAAGTCCTTGTCAGAACAGCAATTCCGTGGTTTTTGCTCATTCGGCAAAAGAAAATGAGAGGGAGGTGTCAAGCATTATGGCCAAGGAAGTGATGCTCATTCCCAAGATTCTCTTTGGCCATCAAGGGAAGATGTCCTGCTCCAAAAGGCATGCCTTGACCATGTGTGAGGGATGCTCAACCTCTCAGCTCCAGGAGGTCCATCATGGGACAACAGGGTCTCAGGGCCCTTCCTTCTAATCCGCCTTGCCACGCTTGCTGTTCATGTTCATCGTCAGTGCCATTGGGAGATTTCCCTAGGGATGAGCCTGAGAACTGAAGAGGGCCGGGGCACCTGCTGAGGGGTCACTCACCTGGATGGAGTTGGACTGGTATTTGTGATACTCGGTGTTGGATTTCAGGTCATCAATGTCTATGGTGGGCAGTCCTGAGATGAGAAGTTCCAGCTCCTGCTCCGTGCAGGTGGAAATGAGGCATTTGGGGATGATCTCATAGAAACCCTCCAAAAAGGCTGCCGACTGTTTTCGGATAGCTCCTGTAGGAAAGAAAAGCCCCAGTGGGCTAGAATGCTAGAATGCCTCCCTATCCCCTTCCCTATGAGGAGAACCTGTTGTTTCTACATTTTAGATTTCCCTCAGTGTTGGCTTCAACTGGGAAGGGGCTGTTGAAGCGAGGCTAGTTCAAGCCTTTTATTTCCAAGAAGAAGAGATGGGCTTTCAGAGGGTTGAGGGGATAGCTCCCGCTTCTGTGCACATGCATGTGTGTACGTCTCCCTTCTTCCCATCTTGTTGAGGAGGCAAGGCGAACAAAGAGCCCCCACACCCTCCAAGAAGTACCTGTCATCCTCATCTGGCACACGAGGTGCACGTGCTCCTTCTCGTTCTCCTCAGTTACCAGGATGTTGGCTCCATTTGGTTTGAGATCCCGAACCTCACAGACTCTTGAACCTTCAAATAAGACCACCCACCTCAAGCAGGATTAGCAGACACCAGACCCCATCTCTCCAGTAGATGGATTTGTGTCTGGGCCAGATGGGCAGGGGCCCTCATGCCACCCGGCACAAAGACCATTGGCTTTTTTGGGGTTTTGATTTACTTAAAGTGACTGAGGCCTAGAGAACTGTTTCTCTTGAGGCATCAAGGTGGTGCCACAGTGTACAGAGGACTGGACCACCCGAGTGCAAATCTGGACTTGGACACTGACTGTGACCCCAGGCAAGTTACTTAACCCCTATCTGCCTCAATTTCCTCAGCTGCAAAATAAGAATAAGAACAACACCTCCCTCCCAGGGTGGTTGTGAGGATCCAATGAGATCATATCTGCAAAAGCTCAGCACAGAGCCTAGCACATAATAGGTGCTACATAGATGCCTGGTCACTCCCTACCCACCCAAACTCTTAGGGGGTCTCACAGGGAGGCTCGGTTTACCAATGTCACAACCACAGGCTGTGGGGGATGGAGGCCCTCCCATGGGTGAGGAGGAGGGGAAATGTCCCAGACACGGGATCTCACAGGCTCAAAAACAATTGGAGTGCATCTTTCCACCCAGTGACCTCAGTGCTGAAAGTGAGGTCACAGCCAAGAGTGGAAACATCATTTGCCAGCAAGTCAACCAGGCCCTGGTAAAAGTGGTAGTCCTCACTTTCCATATCTGTGTACCTAAAGACAAGCACAACCCGCTATGAAAAGAGGGTGAGAGGAGCTGGGGGGCAGGGGAGCAGCATTGGTCCCAGCCAGGCCCGATAGGGCAGGATGCCCATTTCCTCACCAGACTGACTTGCCCAGGATGTGCTTGTAGAAAGATCGGGTGAAGTAGCACTCTAGAAGCCGGTTGTCATATACAGCCTTGGCCACGATGTGCCCGACAAATTTGAAGTAGCTGAGATGGTTGGGATTGCAGTGGGAGGAGGGATGGATGGTGTAGGTGACCCGGTCGCTGGGTGAGGTCTGGAACAAGGCGTACATGGGATTAAACATCTCTCGGGAGATGATCGTGTACCACTCTCGGGGGAGGCCCCCAGCATCCTGGCCTTCTTCTCCTTCAAACACTATGTACCTGGTGTGGGGGAGATGGGATGTGAATGCCATTAGCACCCCATCCCAGCAGCAAGCCCTGGAAACACTGCCTGCAGGCTCCCCAGAGAAAGTCCCCAGTCCTGGCTCTGGCCCTGTTCCCATGCCCATTCAGGCCACTAACAAATAAGATCATAGGATTTTGGGCCAGAATTATAAGAGACCTAGGAGATCGTCTAGACAAATCCTCATTTGGGAGATGGGTCAACTGAGGGCCAGAAGTTGATGAAATTAAGGTCACTCAGCCAGGATTCAAGTCTTTTAAATCCCTAATTCAGTGCTTTTCTGTTGGCCAACAAAGCCCTGATCTCTTGCAGTGTGGGGTGAAAGTGAGGGCGAGAGTGCCTGAGGTGGGGGTGGGGTAAAGATGTTGCCTGAACTCTCAACCCAAATGAGATCACTCTGATGGACATCTACTGCTGGCCCCCATGATCCCCTGAGAGTCTGCCTTTGGCTAAAGGCCAACTGGGCCTCTGACAAAGAACAGGGTGAACCTCTTAAAATTTGAGGTGATGGTGATTGATAAGCAGGTGCAATGCTGGATGTGGAGGTTGAGGCCTGAGATAGGAAGGCCATCTCTGCTATTTAGGAGTCAACTTGGAGTCAAGCAGGCAAGTCACCTGGCCATTTTTGGGGGGGTGGGGGGTGCGATGGCAGCTCTAGAGATTTGGGGATCATTAGAAGTGATTTCCTACATGTTTCCCCAAGTGTCATACTTCAGATGGCTGAAAAG